GGTGTGGTGGTGGGCTGTGGGTTTCATGTTCAGTGTTGAACCCCCTTCCCCCCTCCCTGTGGTGTGGTGGTGGGTGTTGGGTTTAGGGTTTAGGGTTTGCACCCGCAGCCCCCATGTGGTGTGGGTGGTGGGGTTGTTTAGGGTTTTGGTGTATAGACAGGAAAGGATTTAGGGCTGAGGGTTAGCAGCTGGGCGCAGCGCAGACCGAAACCATGTGAGTGTCGCCACTTTGGACACGCCACGAAGCTGCATAGCTGGCATAGCTTCAAAAGTCACAACACTCACGAGGATCCCGGGTTCGGGGGGCCCATCCCTGTGACTGTTGGCAGTTTTGTGGGCAAGAGGGCCTGTTTTGCCGAAGATGAGGCCCTGGCCTATCCCGACGAGGAAGGCCAAGAGGACGACGAGAACCAAGACGCCTACGACGAGACCTCGTACCCCGCCGTTGCGGATGAGGATGGCTACGGTTTTGATGTTTATTCCTACCCTGCGGCCGAAAGGGAGGAAGAAGAAGGCGAGAGCTAAGAAGATTTCGAGCTCGAGGAAGATGAGGCTGGTTCTTAACGCCCTTGAGGAACCCGACCCAGAATCCTGTGAGTCTGGCCACGTTATCCAGCTGCAATTGGCCGCCAATGCAGCATTCGGGAAGGCGAAAGGCTTGGAAAAGGGAAAGGTCAGGTAGTTCGGTCGCATCTTACCTTCGAGGAACGACGTGATAAGATGCGTTCTTTTATAAGGCGAAATCGAAGTGCCTACGATGTGGAGCCATCGGCGACCCGGAGTGCAAGATTCCTGCCCAGACGGGAGGAAAGGCACGGGCAAGGGCCATGCCCACATCGCAATCGGCTAGCCGCGGTGTGATGACGATGGAGGTTTGTATGTCCCATCGGGCAACGACACTGAAGCACAGGCGAATATGGTCAGCGATCGCGGAAAAAGCCCCAAGGCCGGAGCCGCGGCGCCATCTAGCAGCACGCACATGGAAGGCGGATGAAGGCGGCGATTGTAGGTTTACCTTGGACCAGAAAAGGCAGTACTTACGAGGAAGTTTCCCGTAAGTTGGAATACGCTATACGTGGGCACTAGCGCGGCCGAACCCCACGGCACAAGCGCGTGATTTCCTAACCTGGTTTAATATATTGATCAGGGTTTAAGCGGCAGCCCGTACAGGGATCAGGGAATCGCGAGCATCCGTAGGTATCCTTGGGGAACCTATAGACCGAGGCGCAAAACGAAGGGCCCGAAGAAGGTCCCACCGAATCTTCCGGTGGATCGGTGCGCCAAACTGCACAGACTACTTCATGTATCACAAAAGTTCTGCGAACTTAGTGCGCAAAACCTGCAGGGACTGTGGCCATGTAGCCCAGGAGAAACGGGAACATGTGTACACGTTATGGTTCCAACGGTTTGCCCCCATACCGTTACAGACCATAGGGGAAGTTCTAGGAGCTCCTCCAGAACATTCTGCAGGATGTGTGGCATATGTATTGACGAAGTGCCGCAAGAGTTTCACAAGGAAAGGAAAGCAGCTGCCGAGCGCATCCTAGAAGCGGCCGAGCTGGCGCTTCCCACGGTTCAAGCCGTCGTGGCTGACGACGCGACCGACGACCTCAACCCAGAGGCGGTGGAGGTTATGCTTGGCTTGTTCCAGGAACTCGTGACGCAAGCAATTGCACTTGAGGAGCGGATCCATCCGACCGCTCTCCATGAATGGCTGCGGGAGGCCATCAGCACAGTGGACCAGAGCGCCGGAAGCCAGTGGAAATTCGTTCCCACGGCGCTCATGGCAAGGGGCAGGAGCACAACCCGCAGAGGGCGCCACAAGGGAAAGGAGAAGTCTGAGACCTCCCCGGCACCGCGGCAGCAGCCCGATGCCCAACCGGGCACTCCACAGCACTTTGACATATCAGCCCGCCGCTGATACCTTCATAATAGGCTAATTCTCGTGCGTCGTCGCACCTCCGCATCCCGAGTCCTGCATCCCGCGTCCCGCGTCCCGTGTCCCGCGCCCCGCGTCCCGCGTCCCCACGCGTCCCCCATGCACGTCCCGCGTGCGTCCCGTCCCGCGTCCCCCGCGTCCCTCGTCCTGCGTCCGCGCCCCGCGCCCCGCGCCCCGCGTCCCGCGCCCCGCGTCCCGTCCCACGCGTCCCGCGTCCCCCGCGTCCCACGGTTTCGGTTCGAGACATTAAACACGCCACCTCCTTTGGCGATTCCGGTCCAACACAGATATTAAATACAACCCCTCCTTTGGCGACTTCGGTTCAACATAAATTTTAAACACACCCCCTCATTTGGCGATTCCGGTTCAACATATATCTTAAACACGCCCCCTCATTTGGCGACTCCGGTTCGAGACATTAAACACGCCCCCTCCTTTGGCGATTCCGGTTCAACACCGATATTACATGCACCCCCTCCACTGGCGATTTCGGCTCAACATAAATCTTAAACACACCCCCTCGTTTGGCGATTTCGGTTCGAGACATTAAACACGCCCCCTCCTTTGGCGATTCCGGCTCAACACAGATATTAAATACACCCCCTCCTTTGGCGATTCCTGTTCATTCACAGATATTAAATACACCCCCATCCTTTGGCGATCTCGTTTCAACATAGATCTTAAACACGCCCCGTCATTTGGCGATTCCGGTTCAACATATATCTTAAACACGCCCCCTCATTTGGCGATTTCGGTTCGAGACATCAAACACACCCCCTCCTTTGGCGATGTCGGTTCAACACAGATATTAAATACACCCTCCTCTTTGGCGATTTCGGTTCAACTTATAAATCTTAAGCACGCACCCTCATTTGGCGATTCCGGTTCAACATATATCTTAAACACGCCCCCTCATTTGGCGATTCCGGTTGAACACAGATATTAAATTACTAAACACACCCCCCTCATTTGGCGAGTGCCGCGTCCCGCCTGCGTCACTGCGTCCCGCATGTCCCGCGACCTGCGTCCCGTGTCCCGCGCCCGGTGCCCGCACCCCACGTCCCGCGCCCCCGCGCCCCGCGCCCCGCGCCCCACGCCCCGCGTCCCGCGTCCTGCGTCCCGC